GATTATAGTATCTAATTTAATAATCTTTTTGGTTTTTTTGTTTGAGATGATTTTTGAAGAAACGCCAGTGGGTACCGGATTTTTTTACGGCGCTCCGAAGATTATACAACAACCTCGTCAATTTTTGATTTTTTTTAATAAAAAAAATTGAACATATTCCTGAATGTGTATACTTTTAGATAGAAAAACTCCCAATCCGAAATTTCAAGTAGTTTTCCTTAAAAAAATTCACAAAAATGATCTTTTTTTTCCGGCTCCTAGGTGTATATCTCCCCTTAAACTCTTAATGCCTGATTTATTATTTTTTTAGATTGAAGAGTCTTCATGTAGTATATGTCAATTTTAAAATAAATTAACTTTCAATATCAGGAGTCCTTCAATATGGGGGCCACGCGTTTACTTTCTAAAGAGATAAAACTAAATTTAAAAGTAAAATTCAAAAAATTTCCCTGAGCACAAATAAAATTCCTTGAGAATCCATGATTTTCAAGGGTAAAAATGAAATTCCCTGAGAATTCCAGGTTTTCCCGGTTTCTCCCGGTAGTATCCAACCTGGTGTTACTGTAAAATATATCAGCACATAGATATTAACGCGAACGAACCTTTCCCGAGTGTTCTGGCGATATCTTCCTGCTGCTGCTCGTAATGATGTCTAAGCAGCTTGATCCAATACGCCGGATCTGTATTCTCCGCCTCTTGCTTGATTATCTCCGTGTCCGCTTCCTCCTCGGTTTCACCTTCCTTCGTTACGTACGAGGCGACTTTGAAAGAACTTAAGTACTCGTTCGCCCAATTCTCCTTCTGTTCAATACCCTCCTTACTTCTGTCCAACAATTCGGCGACGGCCTTGTCGTCGTAGTGTATAGCTTCATCCTCCTTACCCTCTTCCTCCTTGAACAATTCCTCCGTGCCTGAAAAAAATAAGTTTAACACAATAAATTTATCGTAATTATACAAACGACAATGTTGTGGCGCGGGAGCTGCGCGGCTGCTCTCTGTGCCAAAAAGCCAGAGTCAAAATATATCAGGGTTGCCATAAAAAAAAAATGAATTTTGAAATTTCCTGACTTTTCCACGATTTCCAGACAACAGTGGAAAATTTTCCACGATCAGTATCAAATGTATAATTTAAAATTTTAATGTTTAAAAGATACATATTACAAGAAAGGTAACTTATATAGAGATGTAAATAGAAAAAAATTAAATTATTTTTTTTCATAAAATACGTTTTTCCTTTAAAAAAAAAACTAAGCCTCGTTTTTTTCTTAAAATTTTGTTTTATTTTTCAACTATCTATTTAATATCTATATTTTGCTTAAGTGTATTTTTCGTAATTTTTATACATAATAGATTTAAATTATCATTATTTTAACCTTTATGTAGAACGAGAAAGCCAATATATTGATTCTGAAATATATTTTGAAACAAGGACTTCAATGAATAATTATAATAAATTCTACTTAAGGAAGTTATTTAGCAAAAAATTAAAAAAATTCTCCTTTTGTAAATGTTAAATGTAGATCACATTAAAATTAATTATATAATTTTATAATTACTATTTACAATATTAATTAATTAGTCGTGCTATCGGAATTAGAAAAAAACTAAATTTGTATTTTTTTCAATTAAATAAAACACGTTTTTTTTACATCTCTAAACTTATATCATTAGAAGCAATATAAATTTAATAACATAATGTAATCCCAAATTCAGGCCAACAAATTATTAACATCGCTTTCACATTGATGTTATGCAATAAACTACAGAAAAAAATTCCTTTGGTATAATTGAATTTTTCCTTGAGGACCAGACAAAAACTCTGGTAAAAGCAAAAAAATGCCCCTGTAGACATTTCTTTAATATCGCTAAACATTCAGAATAATTTCAATTGCGATAACAGAGAGAAGTCTCAAATAAAATCGTAATTTTTGAAAATTTTTTTCGACTTTCACACAAAATCATTTCATTCTGTTATTGTATATTGTTTAATTCTGAAAAAGGATTTTCAAATAAAAAAAAGCAATCAAAAATATTGTACAAAAATTATTGAGTTTCGTCGATAAAAACAAATGATCCCTTTAAGGAAACTGTAAGCAAGGCTCAAAATTCCAGGCTCTTTTATATCTTTCTCTGACTTTTCCAGGTTTGTGGCAATCCTGTATATTAAATTATTTTCGATCGACACTTCTCGGAAGGTAATGGCAAAGCTGGAGTATTCCTGCCAAGACAGTCACCATGTACAGTCGTGGACAATGAGGTTGCGACACTTTTTTTCAGTGAATTTACGAATGCGTAAACTCACACACAAACATGTTATATATAATTAAAATAATACCATACCAAATGTTGATACGTCAAATTGTATCAATTAAGATAAACGTACCAATGACTGAACGTGTATCTATATCTGAACAAGTATGCAAAACAAGCACAAAAACTTATTTTTAAATGCTTTTTTTCACAATATTATAATTTAATTATCTTTAAATATTTTTACAATTAAATTTTGATATAACAAAAAAAGCAGAGAGATTTGAGATTAACAAATTTTGTGTACGTGTTCAAATATAGACACATGTTCAGTCGTACTGGTACCTTTTCCTTATTCAATATTATTTGAGAAACATTAAAATAACCACGTTAAAAACCACGCGTTCGTAAACTCACTAAAAAAAAAAAAAAGAAAAGTGTCGCAACCTCATTGTCCACAAATGAAGCAACAGGACTGTCACAAACAATTTGCGTGCTCCCGCGTGATTACATAAAATAGAGATCACTTTAGGCATGAAGAATCGACTTGAAACAGAGAGAAGGAAGGGGGGGGGGGAGATACGAAAATAAATTTTTTGGTATCAACAATCTCAACAATGAGATCGTTTCATTAGTTTATGATTAATAGAGTTAATGTATTGATGAAGCTTACCAAAACGTAAAATATCATCAAGCTCCTGTTTGCTAAAGTTGGCGCCTTTGCCGCCCATGCCTGGTCGCACAACCAAATGAGTGAGCATCATCTTGCGCTTGGCTACTTGCGTTACTCTCTCCTCTACGGAATTACGCGTGACAAATCGGTAGATCATAACTTTGTTGGCCTGGCCTATCCTATGGGCTCTGCTGAACGCTTGGATGTCGTTATGTGGATTCCAGTCGGAATCGTAAATAATCACAGTGTCCGCTGTCGCTAAGTTAATACCTAAACCACCGGCGCGGGTGGAAAGCAAAAAGACGAACTGTTGTGCACCTGTAATTGAATTTTTTTTTTATTAGAAAATGGGTGGAGAAATTTTTCTTTTCTGTCTTTATTAGAAGAATTGAGAATAAAAAATTAAGGTCTCACCACTCCTGAGGTTTTAAAATGATACCTTAAGTTCGGGATTTCTTTGTGGGTAAATGGATAACTTTATTTAAAGTCTGCTTAGAGAACATTATTGTACATATATAAGAAACCAAAAAAATATTTTTTTATATTTTTCTTATGTCCAAAATGGCGGCGTACTGACCTACACTTGAGGAATCCCTTTTTTTCTATTCAGGATTCCACACACAGGTTTGGCCTTGAACAAAACATAAAGAATTTTCATGATCTACATAAATATATTAAAGACTGGAAAAGTAGGGATTTTTCAAAATACTGATTTTGCTCAAAATGGCAGCTATTTTACGAAAGACTTGTATTGACAAAAATACGAACTTTTCGTAAAAACAGCTGCCATTTCGAGAAAAATCAATATTAAAAAAAAATCCCTACATACTTTTACAGTCTTCAATATGTAGATAATGAAAATTCTTTTGTTCAAAATCAAACCGTGTGCCTGGAATCATCCTGTACACCAATTTGAAAAAACAGAAAAAAAAAGGGATTCTGTGAGTAGACCATCGCGCCGCCATTTTGTACATAAAAAAGATAAAATAATATTTCTTTAGTTTTTTATATATGTACAACCAGGGC